AATACTTCCCTTAAAACATGCTCATTGCACAGATGTACAAGCATATTTTCTTTCTTGGTATTCTTAGTCTATGACATTTATTTAATTGTTTGTTTGCAAAAGTTTTTGTTAAAAAACTCAGAAACACATATTAGCCTAGGCCTCCTCAGTGTCAGGATTATCAATATCACTGTCTTTCATCTCCCACATCCTGTTCTGTTGGAACGTTATTGTATGTGCTCTATTTTGATAAGAATGGCAGCACAGTAGATATGCTTACACAAGAATCTCCATGGGCATGTGCGGAATGCATTTCATAAGATCTCTGTGACATCACTAAGCAATGAAAGTCTTCTGGTTCCATTATGATCTTGAAGGAACACCATGGTGTGTAAAGTTCATCCTCGACTGAAACAGTGTTAGACAGTGCCTGACTCTACACACCGACATTTAGTCAACTTTTAATGAGATTTAAGGCATATATTTCCATATTACTGCTTTTTGTAGAAAAAATATTATAGAGGAAAATATTACAAGATAATGTTTTTCTAATTATTAATGTATGAAAGTTTACTCACCGAAGATTAATGATGTCTTTGGTAACCTATTAAATTAATTAATTATTAATTTGCTTTGTGTTTTATTGTGGGTGAAATATTTGTAATATATGTATGTATGGATGGATGAAAGAAAAAGAGGACAGGAGGGAGATAGAAAAAGAGAGGACAGAAAAAAAGAAATCTTTAAATGAACACTTTTTGTAAGTTTATGATCACATCTGTAACCCAGAATCATGCTGTGATAGGATTGGTTTCTGCCTCTTGCTTACTCCCCTGGTGGATGACAGAAATCGTAAATGTATTCAGAGTCCTGTAGAAACTATTTCTTTCCTTGAGCAGGTCCTTTTTGTTTTATTCTTGGGCTCTATCTTCAATTTAATATATTCCATTCAATTGTCTTCTAAATAAATATTTACCTCTGAGAGAAAGATTAGACTATACATCAAAATGACAGAAAAGAGATGGATTGCAAATGAAAATATTTCGTTTTCTCAGGTTAGTTTTCAGATGCTTTGTGGCAGTAATGCAAATAGGAATTGCATTCAACATTGTCCCACTGCAAAGATACATGATCTTAACTCTTGCCCTCCAATACCAGATGACATTCTCTTATGCATTCATTTCTTGAGTGTCTAGTGAGTGCCAGGCTATCTGCTAGGTCCAGAAGATATAATGTTGAAAAAAAAATAGAATTTCTCTATTCATAAAATTTGAAGAAGACATATACATAATATAGTGAAGATAAACATAGTTAAAATAATTATATTAATGAGGTGTAGTAAATGCTCTCAAATGAATGAAAATTGCTCTAAAGAATGAATAGTAACTCAGTCCTGGTGTTATGAAAAGAATTCCAGAGGGAGTTGTTTGTTTTGTGAGGCATAATAAACAGGAAAAGAAAGATATATTCCAAGTGAAGTAAATAGCTTATAAAAGCCTTATAACAGAAATAGCCAGAATGACTTCAAGAAACTGAGTAAAGGATTTTATGAGCAGAAAATATTTTGAGAGAGCGAGAAAGATACACATGAAGAGAGGCCAAACTCTGGGGGGAAAGATCAAGTCCACTATTTATTTATTTATTTATTTCATCTTAAGAATATATGGGATCCCAGTGACATTTTTCATAGAAATAGAAAAAAAATCATTAAATTTATTTGGAAAAATAAGAGGCCCAGAAGAGCCAAAGCAATCCTTAGCAAGAAAAGTAAAGCAGGAGGTATGAGAATACCAGACCTTAAACTATACTACAGAGCTATAGTAACAAAAATGGCATGGTATTGGCACCAAAATAGACTTGTAGACCAATGGTTCAAAATAGAGGACACAGAGAGAAACTCATATAAATATGGTTATGTCATATTAGACAAAGGTGCCAAAAACTTTCATTGCAGAAAAGATAGCCCGTTCAACAGATGGTGCTAGCAGAACTGGAAATCCATATGTAGCAAAATGAAATTAAACCTCTATCTCTCACCCTGCACAAAAATCAACTCAAAGTGGATCAAATACTTAGGCACTAGAACAGACACCCTGCACCTAATAGAAGAAAAAATAGGCCCAAATCTTCACCATGTTGGCCTAGGATCTGACTTCCATAACAAGACCCCTAAAGCTCAAGAAATCAAATCAAGAATCAACAAATGGGATGAATTAAAATTAAAAAGCTACTTCTCAGCAAAGGAAACAATAAATAACATGAGGAGAGAGCCTAAAAATTGGGAGAAAATCTTTATCACATACACCTCCGATAAAGCATCAATCTCTAGGACATATACATATAAAGAACTCAAAAAACCTAACACCAAAAAATCCAAATAACCTAATCAATAAATGGGCTAAGGAAATGAGCAGACACTTCACAGAAGGAGAAATATAATCAATCAACAAATATATGAAAAAGCATTCAACATCTCTAGCAATTAAAGAAATGCAAATCAAAACTAAGATTTGTCCTAATGGAAAAGATATAGAATACAGGAAACAATAAATTTTGGTGAAGATGTGGGGGAAAAGGCACAATCATACATTGTTGGTGGGACTGCAAATTGGTGAAACCACTATGGAAAGCAGTATGGAGATTCCTTGGAAAACTGGGAGTGGAACCACCATTTGACCGAGATATCGCACTCCTTGGTTTATACCCAAAGGACTTAAAATCAGCATATTACAGTAATGCATCCATATCAATGTTTATAGTGGCTCAATTCTCAATAGCTAAACTATGAAACCAACCCAGAGGTCCCTCAATAGATGAATGGATAAAGAAAATGTGGTATATATACTCAGTGGATATTACTCAGCTTTAAAGAAGAATGAAAATATGGCATTTGCCAGTAAATGGATGGAATTGGAAAATATTGTGCTAAGCAAAATAAGCCAATCCAAAAAAATGAAAGGCTAATGTTTTCTCCAATGTGTGAAGGCTAATTTACAATAAGAGAAGGGGCACTAGAGAAGAATAGTCTTATCTTAGATTAGGTAGAGGGAATTGATGAGAGTGAAGGGGAGGGGATATGGGGATAGTAAACATAGTAGAATGAAACATGTATATATGCGACTACATGACCAACATGATTCTGCAACATGTACACTCAGAAAAATGAGAAATTATATCCCATGTATGTATAATATATCAAAGTGCATACATGCATTCTATTTTCATGTATAACTAATTAGAAAAAATTAAAAATTAAAAAAATGGGAATGTGCTTTTTATTCATGGGCACCTTAACACGGTCACTTGGACTTTTGTGGAGGATGTATTTAAGATACCAGAATGCATATGGAGTGCTAATAAGTGTACAGTGGAAAGTTTAGGTGAGACATGCCCAGATATCTTGACCTACAATGCATTTGGGAGGGACTAAAGATGGGAGATATATTTAGAAAGGACATCTAACAGACCTCAGTGATAATTTTAATATGAAGAATAAGGGAGAGGAAAAGGTCCAAGATGACCCCTCCTTTTTTTCTGGCTTGGGTAAGTAGATGAATGACAATTTGGGGATGCATGACTTCATGTGAGGGTGTGCATACAACGAAGAGTTGTTTTCAAACATAATACTTAACTTTTGAACAGACTACTTATGCCCATCTAGAGATTGAACAAGAAGCTATATATACAATTAAAACCATAGACTATGTTGAGATAAAACTATGCTGAGAGAATGGAGTAGCAGTGAGCGGTTAGCAGTGAGATTTGGTAAACCACAATACTTAATGAAACAAGAAAGAAGAAGGATAGAACAACAGAGGAAAGAAGGAGTTTCATGAAATCTACAGAAACACAGGGGATCAAAGGCTAACAGGTGTCTAATAAGAAAGGGATTAAGAATGCCCACGAGTTTCCGTAATATTAATAGTATTGGTTATCTATGTGAGAACTAAAAGGTGACTTTATGAAGTTATGGGAGCAAAAGCAAAACTGAATTGGACTAAGTGAAGAAAATAAGAACAATACTTACATGGCTTTCAGAAATCTTGGAAAGAGGAGAGAAATAATCTTGAATGATTTCAGTATGTTTAAAGGTAGAAGAAAATAATTGAGATGGAGTTTAGGAAACAGTTAAGAGCAGTATTAATCAATTGGTTTAGTTTCTCAAGAGGTTAGTCTTATACCATGACTTAGGTAGAAAAAAAGAAAAAAAAGAAAAGAAAAAGAAGAAGAAGAACTTTTCTACTGTCCTCACAGGAAAGTAGGTATCTTGATGAAAAGTGGTAAAGTAGAAGACAGTTGAACTCAGAGCATAAACTTGTGGGTTTTGAAAAGGGCTTAGTATTTGGATGATAAGATTATATCATTCTACAACTCTTCTGGTCTATTCTGAAACATATGATTTTTAGTTTAAAGCATTTATAGAGGGATATTCTAAGAAATTTCCTTTTAAATGCTACTAGGAAAAATTCATTAATAACTAAATATAATATAAATTCATTAATAACTAAATATAACCAGTATAAAAATTCTGTTGTACTAAGTTTATTAAGTACCTATCATAGCAGTCTATCTTATTAACTTTCAGTATTTATCTGTAAATTCTAATAAGTAAAACTTTTTGAGACCTATTCATCAAATACATTCAAAGAGGAGATTAAGATTTATAAGTAACATTGGTGATTGTATTAGTATTATGTAGAGATACTTGGAAAATTAATCATAGCTTAATATCTTTTCCCTTTTTTTTCAACCGTTTATTAACTTTTTCAGTGGATTTTTATTAGGTAGTGTATTTCTTCTTATTTCATGTTCTGTAAGGCTGAGTGAAAAAATAAACAGCACTTGTTGTTATCAAAGATATAACCTTATAGAGATGCTTATCTATTATGAATTCAACTGGTAACTTCCAGAAAGTTTTGATTAGATCTATGGAGATTTCTACATTATACTGAATATTTCTTAATATACTTCTTCACTATATAATAAATTTTCTCTGATTATTGCAATTCTAATTTTGACAGGTGAAAGTCAATAAGGATGTTTAAGCACTGGTCAGCTGTTTTTGTTCTTTGGTGCATTTTTCTGGAGTCAGAAGGAAGACCAACAAAAGAAGCAGGATATGGCCTTAAATCCTACCAACCTTTAATAAGATTGCGACATAAGGTACTGTCAACATTCTGAATCTACTCATTGTGCTTACCAATTATGAGCTAAGCTATTAGTTGTTACGTTTAATTTTCATTTAGGACCATTTATTTCAGGATATGCTTTCAGTAATTTCCATTTTAATAAAAAAAAAAAACACCATTTAAAAACAGAAAATTGAAGTAAAGTTAGAAATTTATCATTGGGGAATTAAATACTTCTTAATGAAGACTAGAAATAGGCCCTTTAAAAATATATTATTGAAATTTTTATGAAGTAATAGCAATGAATTAATAAAAATAAGTAAATGTGTTAATACCTAAACAACCAGATAATATTTTTATTCTTTTAATAACAATTTTAAGACATTTTTAGAATAAAAAAAATAGTGATATGGTCTAGAATTTACCAAAAAGATAAAATAAGATGTGTAAACCACCTTCAGAAATATAGGTTAGCAAAATTTTAGCATTCATAGAAAATATTAGATATTTTAATTTAATTAAAAATCACAATATTAATTTGTTAAATTTAAAATTAAAGTTAAAAGTATTCTATGGGCAAATACTGCTTTATGTGATACACTTTCAACACTGAAAAAAACTATATTTAGGTATACTATAAATTATATAAATACAATAAAATAAAATACAGCTTTTTTTTTTTCTGGTACTGAAGATTTAACTCAGGGGCACTTAACCGCTGGGCCACAGTCACAGCCCATTTTTGTATTTTATTTAGAGACAGGGTCTCACTGAGTTGCTTAGCATCTCACTAAGTTGCTGAGGCTGGCTTTAAACTTATGATCCTCTTGCCTCAGTCTCCAGAGCCTCTAGGATTATAGGCATGTGCCACCATGCCCAGCCAAAATACTAATTTTGTTTTAATAATTGCCCATGATACTGCAAATAACAGACTAAAGGTATTTCTTTATTAACTCAAAGAAAAGTTTATATATACTTGTTTAGTTTTCACAGAAAGTATAAAAGATCAAGAAATGTCATGCTAATTATGGGAGAAATTTTTTCTATTTGTGAAAAATTTGTTATGCTATTGTCTTTATATGAGACTTTTGAAAGAAACAAATATAGATTTTCTTCCTTATACTCAATACATGATATTAGCATTTTATGTTGTGTACAATTTGTTGTAATTTTTTCATAATTATCAAAATGTTTTGTTAATATGGCTTCTACAGTGATTGTTATGTTCCAAACACCAAGTTAGGCTCCTAAATATATTATTTTAATTAATCTTCAAAACAATCTGTAAAAGATAAAACATACCAATTTTTGTTTTGTAGACAAGACATTAAAAATCTTAGACTAAGAGATTTTCGGAATGCACACTCTATTAGATATACAAATTGACTATACCATGAAGGATAGATTTGATGACCATAGAAATAAATAAAATGTAAAAATATAATTCAGTATCACAAATTATTGTGACCATTTATGTGAAAGTAAATACATCTTAGTCTCTAGTGTGGATAGATAATTGGCTATATTCTACTGTTTTTAATTATCCATGCTATCCCCTACCTCATGAACTTTTAATTAGATTTATCTTCATCCAAACTTTAAAACAAAATTACCACTTTCTGAAAGCTTCCAGAACACATTACTGATACAACAGTTTGGCTGACACTATTACATAATCACTGAATAAATATTTATTCTGTGCTGTTTGTCCATCCTAAGTTTTGTCTCTTGAGGTTAGGAATTAAACCTCTTTCATCTTTTTGTTCCTGGTATCTTGAGCATATTAAATACTATTGAATTAAATTATTGACAGAAAAAGGAGAGGTAGTATGTATAACTACACTTTTCTGATTATTTCTCTACAACATAATACCACAGGTTTTTATGCATCTGTAAAATTTATACATTTATAAACAAATTATTTTAAGTTAAATTTACATGTGAAAATATCAACATGCTGTGCTATATAAACTCACAAATATTTTAAAAAAAGAAACAGCACACTGAATTAAACTTATTTGAGAAGCACTGATACCCACCAAAAATGATCTAAGTTACCTTTCAGTGTTTTTCAATCTGTGTGTCTTTATTTCTAAACAGTATTTAAAAATATACAATGGTTGAAAGTTAAAAGCACAAGAGGCAGAAATTGTCATGTTAATATCTTACTTTCAAAGAACTTTGGATAGAAGTGAGATTAAGCTATAAAAGGCAACATGTCTGTGTGTGTGTGTGTGTGTGTGTGTGTGTGGTGTATGTGTGTGTTTATGTGTGCGGGAAAGAGAGAGAGAAAGAAAGAGAAAGTCAAACAGAAATTGGATATTCAACTGGAGTAAAGAGGATCCCTGAGATGTACAAGTCCCTGTAATCCCTACCAGATTCCTTCCATTCATCATCAACATACCTTCTTGCTCTGCTAGAACTACCTTTTCTTTTCAGGGACTTTGAAGATTACACTATAACCTTTATTTTTGCTTGTGTCAATCACTATAAGGAGTCTGGGACTTCCCAGTGATTGTTTTACCACTGCATTCCCATTCCCGTTAGTCTTAGGTCACTTTATCAGTGAGGCTTTCTCCAACCATGACTGAAAATAGACAGTCATAAATATTCCCTATCTCACATTTATTATTCATTTACATTCAGAAAGTTTATCACCATTTGCAACACATACATTTTATTTATTTTTAGTTTGTGGGATGCTGCTATGGTTTGGATCTGAAATGTCCCCCCAAAGATTATGTATTGAATGATTGGTCTCAGTGCAGCTATTGCAAAATGATGGAAACTTCAGGCAGTGGGATCTAGTTGGAAGAATAAGATCATTGGAGCCATGTTCTTTTATTTATTTTTTAAAGATTTTTTTTTTTGCACAATACCTTTATTTATTCATTTATTTTTATATGGTACTTAGGCTCAAACCCAGTGCCTCATATGTGCTAGGCAAGCACTCTACCACTGAGCTGCAGCCCTAGTACTGGAGGCATGTTCTTTAAGTGCGTATCTTGTCCTTGACCTTTGCTTTATCTTTCTATTTTCTGGCTTTCATGCCATATGCTCCCTGTTATAATTTTCTACGTTATCATGGACCTAAATCAGTGGTCTATGGAATAAAACCTTTGAAACTGTGAGCCAAAATAAATCTTTCTTCCTTTAAGTTATTTTCTCAGGTATTTTGTCACAGTGAATAAATGTGAAATAACTAACTCTGATAACTAGCATAATGCTAGTTAAGAATAAGATTATATATTTATTACATATTCATATTTGTATTGATGGAATTAATAACTTCTCCTTTTCTAATATGTATCAGAATAAAATAAATAGAGTGATACTTGAAATTCTAAAAATCAATGATTTTAATAGTTTTGTATAAATTAATTTCCTTCAACCTTTAAATTTTGTACAGTTTTATTTTAATTGCAACAGATACAAATATCTATAATTTTGTAAGACTGAGAGAATACATAAAGAGATTTTCCATTTAGCTTAAATTTCTTTAATTTTAAATTTAGTTATTAACTAGAAAAGCATAAAATAAATAGTAGACACAGCTAAAACTTTAAGTCTGATTAGTCATTTTCCACATATTTTGCTAAAAGTGTCAGTACTTGAATCTGAAAAAGTATATATATATAGAACTAATTTCCACAAGATATTTATGTGCCACTTATATAATAAATTCTATTTTGAGAGTAGAATGAAATGTGGGACTTATTTGTCAGATTACATTGAAATACTGCAGATTTAAATGTAAATATATGCATATATATTTACATCATTTACAATTATATGTACACAAAAATGTGATTAAAATTTATTTGTCTATATCTTGCTAGACAAATGATTAACACATGAATCTGTCATATTAATTATAGAGATCTTAATTATTATCCACAGATATATGTCTGGGGGAATTAAAACACATGTGTTTTACCCAATATGTTTATCCAACATCATTTATAGAACATGATATGAGGTAATTCATTAGCACTCTAGACTTATAAGATGCAATCATGATTCCAAATCCCCAACGTGATTCCTTTTCTTATTATTATATTAATTTAAACATTGCATACTTATAGAGTGCAAGGTGTTTTCACATACATTAATTATTTTAATTTAATCTTGAATAATATTTCTGGGATGCAGGAAATACTATTCCAGTTTATTCAAATGACATCATTAAAACTCAGGGAGGTAAAGTAACTTTCCAAGGACAAGAGAGGTCAATAGCTGGAACCACTGAGATAAGGAAGAGGCAGGTAACAGCAAACATAGGTCAGAGGTGGGGGGGCGAAAGACCAGAAAACATAAAGATGATGATAGTAAACTGTCTGACAATTGTCTCAAGAAGAATTATCTTATGTTCTTACAGATTGTGTTTCTTTTACCCCTTCATGAGCAAGCTAAACTGCTCTCATATTCATTTCTGAAATAAATATCTTCTCTTATTGGTTGCTATAGCCCTTTATCAGACCAATTTTCCTGTGAGATCTCATTAGGAAACTCTAGTGACCACCTTATTTACTGACTTGTTACCAGGGACCTGGCTGTTGAGTAAGGTGTAGTAATTCTTACTGCCCTGTGCATTTGGGAGAAAGATTCCCAAAATCTTCCCAAATTTGATCTATCTCTAGAATTGATGTAGTCAGAGTAGTTGATATTTAACTAGACTTAACTGCGTCACCAGGCACTACTAGCTTTATTATACACATTAGGTCCTTTAATTATATTGATATTTTCATAGGGAAAAAGGTTTTATCTGAATTTTATAGATTGGAGAACAAGAGTTCATGGGTGTTAAAAATCATGTAACTAGAAAGCAAGGCACTATTATTTCAAAACATGGAGAATGTAAATAATTTAATGTAGATTACAAAATGAGTATTGTCTATAGGACCTGTGTGCCAAATATTTCTTGTTTTTTTATCCACCCCCACCACCACATTCTGGCTAAATGGTGATAAAGTAGGATTACATGTCTTAGTCACTTAGTGCTTGGATGGGACCATGCATATAGTCATGGCCAAG